CTGGGATGTATTAGGAGGAGTGTGGCCAGCAGATTGAGGGAGGTCTCCTTCCCCTCTACTCTGCCCTAGTGAGGTCCCATCTGGAGTACTGTGTCCAGTTCTGGGCTCCCCAGTTCAAAAAAGAAGAGGAACTACTGGAGAGAGTGCAGGGGAGGGCTACGAGGATGATGAGGGGACTGGAGCATCTCTCCTATGAGGAAAGGCTAGGTGCTGGTCTTATCTCAGCTTCACATCAGCTGTCCCTGCTGTACTGCAGGAAGGTGTTTGGAGACCTGCGGTGATGGAGATTTCACGGTCTCTGAGTGGCGTACAGCCGCTCCTTAACTGGTTTGGCAAGCGGGAAGTTTCCTAATACCTGACCTAACTGGTACACATGGAAAGCAGGTTCTCCCTTTCCTCTTGATGTAGGTGAACACCTCTGCTTGCCCTCTCTCTTCTCTTTAACCAGAGAGGTCCTGTCCTTTCTGTCTTCCCTTGTAGCTTGGGTTTTCAGAATGCTTTGCCATTTTTGGCTCTCTCCTCTCAATATTTTTGAGTTGGTTCTCAACTATCCTGGAGTGTAGACCTGAAAACTGAGCAGACTATTCCAGTTTAAATAATAATGGCTGGATAGATTAAAATTTTTTCTTCGTTATCCTATTTATGATTCTTCTATTTATGCATTTGAGCATCAGCATAATGCAAGATAGCCTAGCACTGCTCATGATCCGTAATCTCTTCTCTGAAGAACTGCTTTTTTATCCTGGTACATACTTGTGCAGTTGATTGTTCTTTTGTACGTGTAGAACCTTCTGTTCCTTCTTATTCAGTGGCATTTCAGTTTCTCCAATCTGCCAAGATCCTTCTGAATCTAATGCTGTACTTTAGCATAGTTGGAGCCACTTCCTGTAGATACAGTCTCCAAATGTGAGTAAGTGTACTCTGTTCAGTCATCAAAGATGTTGATGAAATTACTGAATAGTTCTGGATCCAAGACAGAGCTCAGTGAAATCCTATTCAATGTATCCTTTCAGCTTGGGAGTACAAATTATTTAAAATAATTTTGCACTCATTTTATACACTTGTCTAGTCAGTATTTTTTTTTTTTCAGTTAAGAGCACATTATGTGAAACCTTATGATCCTCACTCTTCTTACCCTATCCACGAAGCCTGTTACCGTCTGATAGAAGGAGACCTCAAGTAGGCCTCAAGTTGCGCCAGGGGAGGTTTAGATTGGATATTAGGAAAAATTTCTGTACTGAAAGAGTGGTCAGGCATTGGAACAGGCTGCCCAGGGAAGTGGTGGAGTCACCATCCCTGGAGGTGCTGAAAAAACGTGTAGATGTGGCACTTCAGGACATGGTTTAGTAGGCATGGTGGTGTTGGGTTGACGGTTGGACTTGATGATCTTAGAGGTCTTTTCCAACCTTAATGATTCTATGATTCTGTAACTGGATTTATCTGGTATTATTTGTTACTGATGAACTCATGCTGTTGTGCTGTTACTTCTCATATCTTTACTTTCTGGATTCTTGCAAATGGTTGGATTACATGTTGAAATCTCTCTTTTTTTTGTTTCTAGTAGAAATTCAGCTAGCCAGTTTGTAGAGCTCTTTCCTTCCACCCTTTGAGAGAGATGCAGTCCTTTTTGAGTTTTCTGCAACCTCACACATTCTTTACAGCTTCCTGGATATAATCAGTAGCAGCTCTAACATTGCTTGAACCCTAAGGGTGTTTCATCAGGTCTAGTCTATCCAAAAATCTGCAACTTACATATTTTCCAGTCTATTTCTTCATTTTTCTAGCCTAAGCTCTTAGACTTTTGTCAGTGGTGCTCGTAGTGAAATCACATCTGCCTTCTTAAATTGAAGACTGAGGATAAAAAAGGCACTAAGGATACTGGTGTCTCAGCATCACCAGTCATTAGGTGATGATTAAATAGATTTCCCTCTCTACAGAATAACAGACCAATTTTTTCCTTGGTCATCTCACTATGCATCTTTCCAACTTCCTCGCTATATTTTAAATCCAGTTTTCTAACATTTTGGGACCTTATCTTTCTGTTTTAGCCCATACATAGTCTATATATTTATTCACCATTTAGTAATTTGACTTACTTTCTACTTTCATGGAATCATCATAGAATGGTTTGGGTTGAAAGGGCCTGCTTTCTTTCAGGTCATTGAAGATCTTACGATTCAGCCAAGTCAGTCTTTATTTCATTTCCTCCTCTTCCTCTGTGTGGATCAAATCCCGCAGTTTTGCCTTCAGCAGTGGATCTCTGATGCACTTGAGGCTCTCCTGAACCGGCAGAAGTTTAGCTACTAGTTCTCTGAGTTGAAGTCTCCGTTTAGTTCTTCCTCCTCTTCCTAACAATGAAAATCGATAAAAGAGGGTCAGATTGATTCGTAATTTTAATTTCTTCTCTGTATAGCTAATCAGAATTTCAAACAGAAGAATTTCTTCTATACATTTTTCCTTCTCGCAGTGTTTTCTACTCCTTGCGAGTTAGGCATGATCCAGTCACTGGCCCACCTTAGGAAGATGCAAATATTTAGGTTCCCATGCAGTGTTTGCAGGATGCCTCCCCCCTGCTAGCATGAGCGCTCTCCTCTTTGCATCTTTTGCTATCCTGGAGCAAAACAACTGCCTTTTCTAAGCATGGGCACTGTGGGCTATGTTCACAGGAGCGTGCCACTGGGGAAGAACCACCACTCTCCCTAGAAAGGACCAAAAGACCCCCCATCCAACCGAAACACTCTGTGTTTGAAGGCATTTTCCCAGCTAGAAAATAGGATGTAAGTTGAGGGCATTATCTTCATTTAGTTCTCTCCAAAACTGGCTGGATGACAGTGTCGCACAAATTCCCACAGATGGAATTTTTATGGTTAGTAAAGTTTAAATAAGGGATTTGACTGGAAAAAGGAGGACACCTCTTACAGTGAGATACAAGCTAAAAGGTGAATGTTCACGCCAGACCCTCAGATCTCTTTAGAATAACCCTGCACGAGCAAAGATTGCTTGGATTTTGCCAGTAAGACAGGAACAGCCTTCTCTTTCAAAACCTGAGATGCAGAGACGTGATCTAAATCACATGCATTGTTCTCGTTCCCCTTTCCCCCTTGCCTCAGAGAAAGGTAGGTATTTAGGATCTGATTCTGAAATGATCACTGCACCTCCTGTTGCTTCCCATTGGACTTGTAAATATTTATTATGAAAATCAGGCCTTTGATATAAAGGCAAATCACATGTAGGAAGAAGGAGTGGAAATACTTGAGGGTTTTTAACTGACTGATGGCTTCACATGAAGCTTACTGTACAAGGCTCAGAATTTTATTTGGGGTATGCATACTGCAGTGTAAAGCATGTTACCACATTCAGACTAAAATAATCAGTTTGTTGTGAACAGCTCCATTTCAACTGTTCGCCTAGATATGAACTGATGATGGTCCACAATGCTTTAAAAGTCATTTCACTGGCAATGGAATAAACGTATGCTAGAGATTTTACAGCCTGCTGCATAAATGTGTTGTGAAATCAACGTGAAAGTCAGTCAATTCAAAATGCATTTAAGAATCATTTCAGGAACTATTCCGAGTTATGGTTTTACGGTGACAGTTTGCTGTTGATACATAAAGCCTGCCTCCGAACGCCGCCTGAAAAGCACGTACACAAAAGCTGAGATGCTGTGTAACTGAGGCCCTGGCCCTGAGGGGGATGTGCTCGCAGGGATTCCTCTCGAGGTCTGGCGGCTTCGTTAGCATTTTGCACCAGTAGGAGACTCTGGTAAGAGATCACACTGAGGGACTAAGGCGTTGCTAGACATCAGAGAGATTATTACATCTAAAGTGTTAATTATACATAAGGTGCAGTTAAAGCAAGAAATCGTCTGAGATTCATATGTGCTGGTGATTTGAATACTGTGTATGTAATATTAGAATATATTTCAAGGAGGTTGAGCTATAGTACAGTTAGGACACATAACAAAGTTACTCCAAGAGCCGTAGTGAGACATTTAAATACTAGTAAGCTTTATGATGTCTCTTGGCCTGGAAATAACTGAATGAAATTGAGATAGTATCTAGAAGCTACATGTTTAAAAAATGCATCTTGGCCCAGTAGGATGGGTAAGAGTGGGTTGGGTTTCCACTGGTTGGAGAGAACACAGACCTGGCCCTATGAAGACAGACTTAAAAGCTGTAGGACATCTAAAAGCATCTGAAGAATGAAAAGGTCTTTGAAGAAAAACCAGCAGTTAACGATTTCTGTGTGAAAGATGCGTTTCTTCCCAGACAGCAGGAGTGAGTGCGTGACATCTGAGAGAAGCATACGCTGTGAGACGGTATCTATCCTGGAATTAATGGTACCCGAGATAGTGTTTAAAAACAATTCTTGACAGACAAGAATTGTTTACAGACAAGAATTGTCTACAAGTCCTGGTGAATCCCAGTCTGACCTGATCTGCTTTGCCTTATACACTGCACCCAGCAACCTTGCCAAACCTGAATGAGTCAAACCCATGCTTTTTGCTTTCCGTATTTCAACAATAATGCTCTTAGCTACTATATTACTTTGCACTTCAGTAGCTTAATTCACTTGAGTTGTTCAAAGCATTTGGTGAACTTTGTAAAAGGGAAGCTACTTTGAAAAAAAAACAACAAAACTGTCATATTTTCAAAGCTAACTATCCTGGTCAGTAGGGTCTAACAGCGGTGTGACTGAGCATGGAGAGCAAAGGCCTTTTGTAGCGCTGGGAAATCCCAGTGCCAGACCATGCAGCTAAAGCACGGGCCCATGTTGGGACGAGGTTCAAACCAGCCCAGATCCATTGACAGCACGACGACTTGGGGGTTTTCTGTAACCCTCTGTGCCGACTGGTGTCCGCAGTCTTCGTTTCCTCTTGGAGAGCGCAGGCGATGTTCCAGTCTCTGCAGCCGAGCAGAACCAGAGCGTGTCTGTGCGAGCCCTCCCGGTGCCGGTGGAGATGCCGGCACGCCACGGCGGCTGGCCCCTCACCAGGCATGCGGCGAGGGCCAGCGCCCGGAGAGCTCTGCTTGCCCCGCTCGGCCGGCCCCCGCCACCCCAAAACCCGGCACCGCAGGAGAACCAGCCGGGAGAGGGGCAGACGCCTTCAGTCGTCGTACAGATCGCTGACGGGCACTGCCGTGTTTCTGGTCAGCGGTACAGCCTTCAGTGTGGCCAAGTCCATTGCAGTAAACAGTTTTGACACAACAGTGAGCAAAATAAACTTAAGCGCAGTACAACGCTACCACCCAGGAGTTAAGTTTTTCTGGTTTAATTTCCTGGAGCGTCTGCAGTCACTATACGCAGTATATATATGTATATATACTATATATAGAGCATATCATGCGGGATATCTCTATGGTCTCATCCATAGCGACTAGTGGATGCTAGTGTCTATGTAGCAGCCTGGGGATAAAAATGCATAAAAAGTGGTAACATTAAATATCTGTTGCGGCCTGCCTATGGGGGGGGCGGGGGTGGAAGCGACTCAGGTTCTGTGAATGCCCTCGGGCTAAATTAAGGTGAAACTACACCAAACAATCAATGTAGGCATTTTATTTGTAACAGAGGTAACTTGGAAAAGACGGAAAGCGTTGTCAGCGTGGGTTCTTATCAAAAACGCTGTATGAGAGGGGGAGTAAAGAGAAGAGGGGACAATATCTTACGGAGATCATACCCGACTTCATCACCCTTTGAAAAGAGAACTAGCAGTTGACCTCAAATGTTCCCGTGGCCCGGAGACCCTCGGCTACCCAATGTGTGTAATACTTGCGCGTCC